TGTTGAGTTTACTGAGAACATAGTCTATTAACACATATTTTGTTGTATGTTATGGGTATTATATACTGTATTCTTACAAGAAACTAAGCTAGAGAAAGGAAAATGTTATTAAAATCATAAGGAAGTGAAAATATATTACACATTAAGTGAAAGTGGATCATCATAAAGGTCTTCATCCTTGTCTTCACATTGAGTAGGCTGAGGAGGAAGAAGAGGAGGGGTTTTAGTCTTGCTGTCTTGTGTGACAAAGGTGAAGGAGGTAGAACTGGAGGCCAGCACAAGCTGTGTAACTTTTATTGAAAAAAAAAAAAATATCTGTGTATAAGTGGACCTGTACAGTTCCAACCCATATTGTTCAAAGGCAAATTGTATTGTGTTTTTCGTAGAATCTTGAAATATGTTCATTACATCAAAATCCACTAGATTGAAAATCACATATATGTTACTAAACAGTATGACACATTGGTTTGTTCCTCAGTATAACTGGCTTCCGTTACAATCATATGTATTTTATCTTTTGCATTAAAAAATATTAGACTAAGATGGAGTCCACACGCTTCATTAGATTGCCAAAATGGTACAGGCCACAAAAAAAGTTGAATCCCTGGGCTCTGGAGACAGAACTCCTGGTTTAGAATCTCATTTCTTTAACTTAATTGCTTTGTGAACCTAGGCAAATTTCTTAATTACTCCTTACCTATAAAGTGGGGATCATGGTAGTATCATCTGCAAAGGGTTTTATGAGAATTTAAGAATTAGGGCAGTGTTAGTTCTTTTTTTTTTTGAGTTGGAGTTCAGTTTTTGTTGCCCAGGCTGGAGTACAGTGGTGCAATTTCCGCTCACTGCAACCTCCGCCTCCTGGGTTCAAGAGATTCTCCTGCCTCAGCCTCCCCCTCCATACAAAATTAGCCAGGTATGCGGCACCACACCTGGCTAATTTTATATTTTTAGTAGAGATGGGATTTCTCCATGTTGGTCAGGCTGGTCTTGAACTGATCTCAGGTGATCCACCTGCCTTGGCCTCCCAAAGTGCTGGGATTACAGGCGTGAGCTACTGCTTTTATTATTAAAAGGCCACATCTTTTATTATTAGCATTGAATGGAAAGAGTCGGCTAGAAAGAACTGTTCCTAAAAGGCACCATGATGTGAAAGTATGGTGAATTTGGTCAAAGGAAAGTTTAATTGGGAAAAAATATTTCAGCATGTTCAAATGAGATATAAAACAGGATAGTCAAATTCTCTGTTTTTTATTTTCAGGGACTTGTTCTGTTGTCCAGGTTAGAGTGCAGTGGCACGATTATAGCTCATTGTAACTGAGCTCCTCGGCTCAAGTGATCCTCCCACCTCAGCCTCCCAAGTATCTAGGACTGCAAGTGCGTACCACAGCTCCTGGCTAATTTTTGTTTTGACAGGGTTTCACTCTGTTGCCCAGAGCAAGGAGTACAGGTCGGAGTGCAGTGATGTGATAACGGCTCACGGCAGCCTCAACTTCTCAGGCTCAGGTGATTCTCCCATCTCAGCCTCCTGAGTAGTGAGGACTTCGGGCACACACCACCATGCCCAGCTAATTTTGTTTATTTGTAGAGTTGGGGTTTCAGCATGTTGCCCAGGCTGGTCTCAAACTCCTGAGCTCAAGTCATCTGCCTGCATCGGCTTCCCAGAGTGCTGAGATTATAGGTGTGAGCCACTGCACCTGGCCCGGCTAATTTTTTATTTTTTGTAGAGACAGGGTTTTGCTATGTTGCCCAGGCTGGTCTCAAACTCCTGGCCTCAGTCTCCCAAAGTGCTGGGATTACAGGGGTGAGCCACCTTGCCTAGCAAGTCAGATTTTCATAATTCATGTTAGAATGGAGAGGATAGAGATACCTTAGGAAGCCACCTGAGAGAAAGTATCATAATGTGGTTACCAGATTTCATATGTGATCTGGACCTTTAGTAGGTTTATAGCCAGTTGAATCAGAATTTTTCTGGTAAGAGAAAGATAGCTTTGTAGTGATGGAGGTATGGTACTACAGGCCAGGTTACCTTCCATGGGCTACTGGGGTACACAGGAGGCTAATATAGTAATTGGAGAGTTTGCTGGTAAGTATGGAAAGCCTGTTGATAATATCCTAGTCCTTAGGCTAGGGTATACCTCTTTAATATTCATGTGCCTCTTTGCCATTTGCTTTTGCTACATTTTAGGCATACCATTCTCCTTTTTTGACACATTATGTCTTTAGAAAAGTATCAAGCAACACAATTGTTGATACAATTGTGTTTTTCTAAGAATTGACTCCAGTTGCCAACCCATATTTTATACATATAAGATTGTCAGTCCATACTTTCTTAGTTTCCTTAGCAGGACTTTGGTGTTCCCAGATCTTTTCAGCCATTTTTCACTGTAGTGAGTCATTGATTTCATTTATTCACTTAAAAAAAATGGAAATACATTGCAATTCTTTTTCTTTTTTTTTTTTTTTTTTTTTTTTGAGTTGAAATTTTGCTCGTTACCCAGACTGGAGTGCAATGGTGCGATCTTGGCTCACTGCAACCTCCACCTCCTGGGTTCAAGCGATTCTTCTGCCTCAGCCTCCCAAGTAGCTGGGATTACAGACATGTACCACCATGCCTGGCTAATTTTTTATTTTTATTTTTTTAATTTTTATTTATTTTTTATTTGCTTCCAAACCTAACAATAATTTTGTATTTTTAGTAGAGATGGGATTTCTCCATGTTGATCAGGCTGGTCTCGAACTCCCAACCTCAGATGATCCACCTGCCTTGGCCTCCCAGAGTGCTGGGATTATAGGCGTGAGCCACCGTGCATGGCCACATTACAATTCTGAAATAGATAATTGTAATAAATTTTCTCAACTCTAATCTTCATTATTGTTCTATGAGCATTGTCAGGTTTTGGAGGGAAGCAGGATGGCAAAAGATGGCCAGCCTGTGTTTGAGGATCAAAAGTTGACCAGCTTTTCTGTCCATAAATCTTCCTCTACCACGTGACTCTGCTGGAGCCTCTCTGAACCTATTCTGGTTAAGAGGCTGCTCAACTTGCTAATTGTTCTTTGCTCAGTTTCTTAAAAATGTTGACTAGCTTCATTTCTGTTAATTCTTCCAAGAGTACCATAGAATACTTGATTTTGTAATACACTAAAAATTATTGTAAAAACCTGAGAGAGAGTTCATATTAGAAACTAAGCCATTTATACCTAAGTCACTGAAAATCAGGTTTAGAATGTTTTCCTGAGAGATCCACTCTTTGAAAGAAAAAACAAAAACAAAAGCATTTTGTGTGTGTGAGAGACAAGGGTTTCTCTTTGTCACCCTGGCTGAAGTGCAGTGGCACATCCTGGCTCACTGCAACCTCTGCCTCTGAGGTTCAAGTGATCCTCCCACCTCAGTTTCCTGCATAGCTAGGACTATAGGCTTATGCTGCCACACCCAGCTAATTTTTGTATTTTTTGTAGAGATGGGGTTTGCCATGCTGCCCTGGCTGGTTTCTTGACCTCAAGTGATCCACCCACCCCGGTCTCCCAAAGTGCTGGGATTACAGGTGTGAGCCACTGTGCCTGGCAAAAAACACTTTTTATTTTGAAAAAATTTTAAACTTTCAGGGAAGTTGTAAGAATAGCACAATGAATTCCCGTAATGTATTTTTAACCTAGATTAACCAGTAATTGGAATTTTGCCACATTTGTATTACCTTTCTATATTTAAAAATGTTTTGTTTACTTTTGGCTGAACCTTTTGAGAGTAAATTGCAGACACCTGATCTCTTTCCTAAATATTTCATAGTATTGCCTAAGAACAAGCATTTTCTTAGATAATCAATATACAGTAATCAAATTTAGACAATTTAACATTTGTAATCCTACTATTTCTTGATACATAATTTATACATTTTGCCAGTTGTCCCAAAGGTGTCTTCTTTTTCCAATATAATATTATACATTGCATTTAATTGTATGTCTATTAGTCTTTTCTTTTTTTCAGTCTCTGAGGATAACTTTAAGCTTTGGACGTACTTTTACTATTATTATGTAATAACCATAAATGTGATATTTTAAAAACAATATCAAGGTCTGAAAGTATGTTTAAAATGTTTTGTTTTTTAAAGTACCACCACAACAAATGATTATTGCAGAAGGGTCAGATAATATAAATGTTTATAGAAGAAAAAGTAAAACTATTCCTTGAACCTATCTTCCCTGCTCCACCTCTCCAAATACCACATCCAAGAACTTAGTGTATTTTCAGGATCTTTTCCTTTTGTTTGGTTTTTATATTTTTACAAAAGTGGAGTAAAATATTTTTTATTTTTTTATTTTATAAAAATATATTTTTATTGTATAAAAATATAAATTTTTTAATAAAATTTTTTATGTAAAATATAAAATTTTTCTACCTTTTTCCTACATTCTACCTTTTTCCTACATTCTGTATTATCTGTTTGTTTCCATTTACATGCAAAATGTGCATATCTTTTAAACAGTTGAACAATATTCTATAATATGGATATACCATATTTTATTTTCTTAAGATGTCTGGTTATTATGTCAGGCAGTTTTAAAGAGCCTTAGGACATATTGTGCTATGTGAAAGGTGTCTCTTTCCAAATGTATTTCTCCATAGAGTAAGTTTTTCTGGTCATGATGGTGTTTGGGGGATTTTGTTTAGAGTTTTTTTTTTTTTTTAATCCCATACTTACTTCTATTTGTATATGGTCCCGATGGATTAAACAGATAATTTTTATTCCTGTCCTACTTTGATTAGTTACTTGTTTGTTTTAAAAACAAAACTGAAGGCATTTAAGTGGGATCTCTTTTTTTTTTTTTGGATCAGGACCTCCCTTGTCAGCTAGGCTGTAATGCAGTATATGATCCCAACTCACTGTAGCCTTGAACTCTTGGGCTCAAGCAATCCTCCCACCTCAGCCTTCCAAGTAGCTGAGACAACAGGCATGGTCTCTTTTTGTAGAGATGGGGGTCTCTTATGTTGCATAAGCTGGTCTCAAACTCCTGGCCTCAAGTAATCCTCCCACCTTGGCCTCCCAAAGCGCTGGAATTATAGTGCTGGGCACCCCTGTGCCTGACCTTAAGTGAGGAGTCTCTCGAAAATGGTTGGTTTGAGGCTGGCCAACAGAGCTAAGACAAAATTTGATAGGTTTGTTGTTATTGTTATTGTTTCCATAGTGGGATTTAAACAGTACTTGGAAGTCTAGTCTCATGAATTCAAATGAGAGGCAATTGCTTTGTATAATTTGTGGTTAATTACATTGTGTAATTTTTGGTTAATAAAAATTGTGTAATAAAATTTTGTATGTGAGTCTCTTAGCTTTGGAATTCATGTAAATGTACTTTAATTTGGTAGTCTTCTTGTTTTGTTTTTCTTTGGAGTCGGAGTCTTGCTCTGTTGTCCAGGCTGGAGTGCAGTGGCACAATCTTGGCTCCCTGCAACTTCTGCCTCCTGGGTTCAAGCAATTCTCCTGCCCCAGCCTCCCTAATAGCTAGGACTCTAGGCACGAGCCACCATGCTTGGCTAATTTTTGTATTTTTAGTAGAGATGGGGTTGTACCATGTTGGTCAGGATAGTCTCTATCTCTTGACCTCATGATCTATCTGCCTCGGCCTCCCAAAATGCTGGGATTATAGGTGTGAGCCACCATACCTAGCCATCTTTTAGTTTTTAAATTTTTTTTTGAGACAGAGTCTGGCCCTGTCACCCAGGCTGGAGTGCAGTGGCGCCATCTTGCCTCACTGAAACCTCCGCCTCCTTGGTTCAATCGATTTTCTTGCCTCAGCCTTCTGAGTAGCTGGGATTATAGGTGCCCGCCACCATGTCTGGCCAGTTTTTGTATTTTTAATAGAGACAGGGTTTCACCCTATTGGCCAGGCTGGTCTCAAATTCCTGACCTCGTGATCTACCCGCTTGACCTCCCAAAGTGCTGGGATTATACAGTGGAGTGCCACTGGGCCCGGCATAGTTTTTTAATTTAAAAAACTAGAGACTCACTTCACTGGGTTTCACTTCATTGCCCAAGCTGGTCTTGAACTCTTGGCCTCAAGTCATCCTCCTGCCTCAGTTTTTCAAAGTGCTGGGATTACAGGCATCATACCTGTTTTTTGTGTTTTTGGTCAAGCTAATGGTTACTTTTGTCTCTTTTCCAGCTGAGCAAACATATTGTTATTTCAATGGAGGTTTAAGATGGTCTGAATTCCCATAGTTGCTTTTTATTTTAGAATGCTTTTTCTGTCAAATGCTAACATCTTGCAAGTGAAAATATCCTTGGGATGATGTGGGTGTTGATAAGACTGCAATTGTGTTGGCAGGCTTCTGGGAGGTCTGCTTACTGGGAGCACTACTCTGGGCTTGCAAGAACCTAGAGCAAGTGGTGGTTTCCAGTTGTAGCTCTTCCTGTGGCCCACTTCCCTGCCAAGTGTGGTTGGACCCTTTCTTTGAGGAGGACTGTATTGTAATCAACAATGTTTGCTTCATGGTTAGCTCTTTGTGAATCCATGGTCTAACTTATATTTTGAGCTTTTGTCTGATATTTGGCCTCATGATGAATAGCTATTAATTACATACTCTATTTGAGGAAGCAGACGATGCTAGGTTTAAAGTTTAAATTTTTTATGAGTTTTGTGTGAATGTAAAGTAGAGCAAATATTTTTCATAAATTATATTAAATGACTATAAAAACCCTTTCTATAGAAATCCATTTATTGTGGTCTTGAGCACACACAGACTTTTTTTAATTGCCTGGTAAAAATACAACTCTTTAATTTATGAATACTTTATTGGAGTATCAACTCTAAAACATAAGCTACACATTTTATGGTACTGGTTCTGTGCTGAAAATGTAGTTAGAATTATCTGTAGTAAAGAGGCAAATTTCTTTGAGGTACAATAAGACATTTTATTAGAAATAGGTAAAAATCTACAAGTTTGCTTCAGAGTAACCATAATAGATATATTTTCAAACTTAAGCTTACCATGTCTATAAAGAACAAAAAACTTTTGTTGCTATGCATTTATTCAGGAAACCAGTTGTCAAAATTATGAAAAGTATAGTATAGCCTGTATGGCAGATTAACCTAGCAGTTTGTGTAAGGAAGTAGTGCTACTAACTGATACAAACACCTTGAACACATTGAAACAGTTGTGATTGAATATAAAAAGAGTGTTTCGCCAATTATAGTATTGTTCATATGTATTAGGGAGATAATTAGATTCCCAAGAAATACTTGGCGCTCTTCTTTGAACTAGTTACCTTTCTTTCTAAACTGAAAAAAAAATTTTTTAAGACAGTCTCGCTCTGTCTCCCGGGCTGGAGTGCAGTGGCATGATCTTGGCTCACTGCAACCTCTGCCTCCCAGGTTCAAGCAATTCTCCTGCCTTTGCCTCCCGAATAGCAAGGATTGCAGGTACCCACCACCACACCTGGCTAATTTTTGTATTTTAGTAGAGGTGATCCACCTGCCTTGGCCTCCCAAAATGCCGGGATTACAGGCATGAGCCACTGCCCAGCATACTTATCTTTCTTACTAGAGAAGATAATGATATAAAATTGGGAGCAGCAGGAGTTAGTATCTGTGATATGACTTTTTTCCAGTTGTACATATGTGTGCTGCACAATTTTTTGTTAGCTGTGTGTTTTTGTGAAATGTACCAATTGATTAAACATTTTAATTTTTATCAATGCTATTTTTTATCTAAGTTTTTAAAAAATGTTTGTATATATGTATTTTTATAATTCTCTACTTTTTAAGATGCTTTGTTTAATTATTAATACAAAGTATCAAGAAAGACTAACATTTCATTGAAGCCTGGCTATCTTATTATTCATCTATTCTCATTAGACCTGTTTGGTTTTGTTGCTAGGACCTGAGGGAGTTTGTAGATCCTTGTATCAGAAAATTCAAGGACCATGATAAATATATTATAGAATATGTTATTTTAATGGAGGAGTCCTGGTAACTAGTAGTTCGGTACATGGTAGTTCATGCTTAGTAAATGTTTGAATTGGCCTGAATTTTTTTTTTTTTTTTTTTAAGGTGGAATTTCACTCCCATTGCCTAAGCTGGAGTGCAATGGTGTGAACTTGGCTGACTGCAACCTCCACCTCTCAGGTTCAAGCGATTCTCCTGCTTAGCCCCTAAAGAAGCTGGGATTTTAGGTGCCCGCCACCACACCTGGCTAATTTTTGTATTTTTGGTAGAGATGGCATTTAACCACATTGCCAGGGTGGTCTTGAACTCCTGACTTCAGGTGATCCGTCTGCCTTGGCCTACTAAAGTGCTGGGATTACAGATGTGAGCCACTGCGCCTGGCCTGGCCTGATTATTTGTAATGATCATTATTCTAATTTCTTGATAGAATGAAAGTTCTCTTAGCAGCATTGTTAATAATTGCTGACATTTATTATAAGACATTCTTTTTTTTTTTTTTCTTTTTATTAAAGATAGGGTTTTTCTCTGTTGCTCAGGCTGAAGTGTAGTGGCACGATAACGTCTCACTGCAGCCTCAACCTCCCAGGCTGAAGAAATCATTTCACTATGCCTGACTAATTTTATTATTTATTTTTTGTAGTGACAGGGTCTCGAACTCCTCGGCTAAAGCAATCCCACCTTAACATCCCAAAGTGCTAGGATTACAGGTGTGAGATACCATGTCCTGCCAATTACCAGGCATTCTTAAATAGCTAAGATTAGGACAGAGGTCAGGGAATTGAGTGGCATGTGTTGGGCTAATGGCAGTGACTTGGTGATCAGAGCACTTTTTATGCTTCTGTTGGTACGCTAGACTACTTTTTTCTCCCAGTATTTTCAGTTGTTTTGTACTTGTGTATTTTCCAGGATGGGTAATCCTTAAACTAAGGGTAAACTGCACTTTACCCTTGTTTTGTTGACTTTCTATCCAAATTTCTCAGACTAAAAATCTCATTTATCTCTTTATGAATATTAGGGGCCAAATGGAAGTAAGGAACCTCAGATGCAGTGGTAAATCAAAGGATATTTTTGAGGCTGAGTGTGGTGGCTCATCCCTGTAATCCCAGCACTTTGGGAGACCAAGGCTGGCAGTTCATGAGGTCAGGACATCGAGACCATCCTGGCCAACATGGTGAAACGCTGTCTGTACTAAAACACACACACAAAAAGTAGCCAGGCATGGTGATGTGCGCCTGTAATCCCAGCTACTTGGGATGCTGCGGCAGGGGATGGCTTGAACCAGGGAGGCTGAGGTTGCAGCGAGCTGAGATTATGCCACTCCAGCCTGGTGACAGAGCAATATTCCATCTCAAAAAAAAAAAGTATATTTTTTGATATTCCACAATACACTGAAAAATGATAGAAAATTTGGTACTCTAAAAATAGAGGCTTTTGTTCTTCTCTAGGATAGCTGATACTTTTTTTATCTAGCATACAAAAAAATTCAGTTGTCTAAGTCTTAAACTGTATGACGTAATTAAAAATGTTAAATTATTTTCATTATATCGAGCCTTTTAACCTGATGTTTAGAACAACTAGCTGAGATTGAACTCTTGAACTCTTGACAGTTTATTCAGCTAACATTTGTTGAATGCCAGACTTGTGATAAGGATACAGAAATAAGCACAGTGTGCTGTGTCAGGGATACCTCATCAAGACTGGGATGGGGATCAGGTGGGCAATCAGGGAGGGCTGCCTAGAATAATGCTTGTGTTCAGTCTTGAAGAGTAGGACTTAGGCACAAATGGAGTAGGCAGTTGGTAGAGGATGTTCTAGGACCACATTATGGGGAGGATACAGCGAGAGAATCAGCTCTATGCCCATTTCCCCTTCAGTTGTTACCCAGTGTAAATTGCTAAGTGCTATAAGAGGCATCTAGTGTAGGGGGTCCTTATTTCTGTGGCTCCCAACTTTTTTTCCCCTTTAACTTGCTCATTGTGACTTCCATGGCTGTGATTTTAAAAGGGCAGGGGAGCTAGTGCCTCTCATTTTATAAAGGTAAAAAAAGAAGTCCAAAGAAGGTACAGGTTGTGCTCACTA